GTTGGTTTCCACATCGTCTGTGGGTGGCTGAGCACAGCAGGTGATAGGTGATCCAGGCAGCTCTGGGGAAAAGGTGAGGAGGTGGAGGCTGCAGAGCCAGCCCCTCAAGACCACACTCTACCCCTCAGTGTACTCTGCCTCGAACCTGCTCGTGCTGCTCAATGATGGGATCCTGCGCAAGGAGCTTCGGAAAAAGCTGCCTGTGGTGAGAATTCTGCCAGGAACTGAGGGCGGGAAGCATGGGGACTCAGGAAAGAAATGGTAACAACCAACCTGTGTGCATAGCACATGCTATGGTCTCATAGAATACGAGACCTGCCTCTGTCCATTTGAGCCTTGAGTCATCTCATGGGGTGAAGTGTCCAGGTGTCAATGTCCCCATTTCAGGTGAAGAGACTGTTTTAGAATCGTGGAGTAGCCTGTCCCAGGTGGAGAACTCAGGCCTTCACATTTGGAAAGGGGAAAATCCACCTCCTGTCAGAGGAATGCCCTGGGGGAGGCTTGGGAAGAGGGAGTATTCCTTGATCTCTTGGCCTGGGGTTCTTGCAGTCGCTGTCCCAGCAGAAGCTGTTAACATGGCTGAGCGTGCTGGAGTGTGTGGAGGTGTTCATGGAGATGGGGGCCGCCAAGGTGTGGGGTGAAGTGGGCCGTTGGCTCGTCATTGCCCTCATCCAGCTGGCCAAGTATGTTGGGACTGTGGAGGGCAGGCCCTGGGTGGGGGTAACCAAGGCCAGCTGTACAGATGGGGTTCAACAGCACACCTCTGCACCCCTGCCGGCTAGTCACCTCCCCCCCAGCCCTGCCATACTCCCAATCCAGGGCAGTACTGCGAATGTTCCTGCTCATCTGGTTCAAGGCTGGCCTCCAGACCTCACCCCCCATCGTTCCACTGGACAGGGAGACCCAGGCACAGCCCCCGGGTAAGCTGCTTCCCCACGCTGGGGTGGAGTGAGCATGGGACTACTCTGTGGACTTAGAGCTGACCCAGTGAATCTTGTCCATTAATGGAACACATCTGTCCCCGTCAACTCATTTGTTCTCATCACCCTGCATTTTACAGAGAAGAGAGAGAGAAATTAGGTTGGGACCGAATCAGAACTTGAACACAGGACTGAGAGTCCTCATCCTTTTCTGTGGGCTGCATGACGAGGGGACAGAGCATCAGCAGGAGATGGGGATCCTGCCAACCTCATCTCTGGGCCTGCCTCCGTATTCAGAACCCCAAGCTCGTGAGGCAGGACACCCAGCAGATCTATCCCTTCAGAGCTGTGGGCCCATCACTATTGGGCTGAGCCTCATTCTCCTGGCCTTGAGTGGAGGCAGTTCTTTGCTTCTCCTCTAGATCATGTTGAAAGCCAAGGATGAAGAAGATACAGCCCCTCTAGTGCTGTGGTTTCTGCAGATGTGGTTGGGTTCTCCCTGCTTCAGTGTCCTTGCCTCAGCTGCTGCCTTCGCACAGGCTCATCCATTCTCCCCTTAGCCCACGAGCCTTCATTCACTGCACACATACTCTTCACAGGCTCTGCTGGAAACATGTCCCTCTGACAGTGTGGCCTTCTGTCTGTCCCTGCTAGGTGGTGAGCACAGCGGGAGCGGCCAGGAGCAGTCATACGTGGGGAAGCGGTCACACAGAGTGGTGCGGACGCTCCAGAACAGTAAGTGTAAGACGTAGCTGGACTGGGCATCTCAGTGCTGAGTCATCATGGGCCCGAGGGCCTGGTTCTCATCACCACCCGCCCTCCCCATGCCCAGCCTGGGCCTGGCTTCTCATCTGCCCTTGTGTTCTAGCTCCGTCCCTGCACTCAAGGCACTGGGGAGCCCCCCAGGAGCAGGAGAGACGGCAACAGCAGCACCAGGAGGAGCTGAGCGTCACCCCCACTCCGCTGGGGCTGCAGGAGACCATCGCAGAGTCCTTGTATATTGCCCGGCCCCTGCTGCATTGTATCCTTAGCATGGGGCTGCCGCCGCTTGGGGGTAGGGATTGACGGGAGTGAGCAGGGCGGGCCCGTGCTGGAGACATCCTTGACACGTTGGCCATCAGTGCTCAGCCTGGGTCTATGGGGGCAGCGGTCGTGGAAACCCTGGCTTCTATCTGGTGTTGTGGATGTGACCAGGTGAGCCTGGGCCTGTCTGGGGTCTCCACTCCCTCCTCCAGGCTTTGTGCTACAGGCCTGGCCCCACCTGGGCAGGCAGGCGCCCCTATTCTTCCTGTTGCTGGTCCTAACTATGTTCCCTCATCTCCCCAGTCTGAGCCTCCTGAGTGACAGGAAGGGCCTGACCCGGAGGGAGCGGCTGGAGCTGCGGCGTCGGACCATCCTGCTGCTCTACTACCTGCTGCGCTCCCCATTCTATGACCGCTTCTCCGAGTAAGGGCCCTACAGCGCATGGCGAATGGCGGGGCCCACCCTCAGCAAGGGAGAGAGGCAGGAAGTGGGATACCAGTGTCCCAACCCTCGTTCACGCCTTCCTCCCTCCCTCTTCCCCCATCCCAGGTTCACTGAGCACCTGCTGTGTGCTGTCCTGGGATGTGGTCACTTGTTCACTTATTGGGCCCAGCCTAGACCTGCTCTCCGAGCTCTAGGGACCACCAGCCCATGGGTGCAGGAGCTTAAGCAGTTGTTGGCAGGAGACACAGAGGACCATGCCCAGGGATGGTGGTGGGCTTGGGCTTGCCACACCCTCCAGGTCACTTGCACATTCCTGTCAAGTAGTTTGGATTATCCCCACTTCTTACAGGAGGCACTTGAGGTTCAAAGAGGTTGGGCAGTTTAAACAAAGCCACCCAGCTGGCCAGTAGCAGAGCCGAATCCCCACATCCAAGTTCTCTCTCGGCCTGACCCTTGCCTTGCCCCACTTTGTCACCTGTGAGGGTCCAGAGCTCTTAGCCTCATCCGGACACAGGGAGGCCTGCGGGGACAGCGGGGAGGATGGTGTGGTGCCCAGGGCCAAGTCTCCCATGGGCCTGCCAGGGCGACTGTCTGAGGTCAGACCGAGTCTGAGGAGGGTCCCTGTATAGCAGTTGGGATGTGAGACAGCAGGAGGTTCCCGGAGCCCCTCTGTAGGTTTTAAAAAGTACACCGCTTCCTGTACTTCATATTGTGACTGTGCAACTTCTGTCTTTTTCTGAGACGGTAGAAAGCACGTTTATGTCATGTTTATTATCACCTCCGTGAGGAGAACTGTCTGGCAGGTTCTGCTTTCAGATAAGTTTGAAAGCTCACAAGGCACTAAAGCCAAACCCTCTTCCATATTCGAGAGGCTCACAGGAGCCTCATGCCCTCCCCCCACCAACCCCACCAATTGTCTGCACTGTACAGAGGGAACATCACAGCCTCAGTCTCTCGACAGGCATTTTGAAACAGTAATTGCAGAGGTGGCTTCCCAGGCTCCAGTTTGTCCCGCTCTCCGCTGAGCTGATCAGCCTGGCACCCTCAGGCAGTGCTCAGACTGAGAAGGGTCTAGAAACCAGCCAGAGAAATTCCTTGTTTCCCCCGAGGACAGGAGCAGGGTGCAGTCTGGGAAGGCACAGTTTTTCTTCCCCTTTTCCTATTGTCACAGAGACAGTAGGGTCTCTCTGGAGCCGTGGGCATCCCAGGCCCATGGCTGGGAGCTATGCCCGAGGTCTCGTCCTTTGTACGGGGGTCTGTCCTTGCCCCATAGTTACTTTCTGTCTCCTGACGCACTGCCTGCAGTCAGGTGGTCGGTGAAAGCGTTTGAGCATCCTCATTTGCAGGGACCCGGACACCCCACTCAGCCTGCTCCCTGTTTATCTCCTTGCAGGGCCAGGATCCTCTTTCTGCTCCAGCTGCTGGCAGACCATGTCCCGGGTGTTGGCCTGGTGACAAGTAAGCATGGGGCAGGGTGTGACTCTTACAGTGTGTTGTGGATCTCATGCATGGCCCTGTCCCCCTGACTGTTTTCTCTTTGTCTCCTTGTAATTTGATTCTTGCCACCACCAGAGAGGGGGCGGGAGGTCACGGTAGGTGGGGAAGAGCTGGACATGGGCCAGGCTGGTCTGTAGCGCCTTGGGCAGCTGGAAGGAGGGTGTCTGGCGTGGGAGGAGTTAGACCTTATAGCCATCAGCCTTTTCCCTGCCTCCATGTCCTGGGGTGACATGAGACTCTGGGTGGACACACGCTGGCGAGATTGAAGCCCACTGGGCTGCTTGCAGATTCCACCTCAGCAGAGAGCCACTGGGCTGGGCTGGCAGCGTCTGTACAGCTGGCACACTGGGTGGCTTCTGAGCATGAGCATGTAAATGGAGACAAAGATCGCTGCTTTTACTGCCTCCCAGGGGTGAAGAGGTGAGGGTCAGTCTCCAGGCCGTGTAGATGTGAACAGCTGTACTTGAGCAACAGTGGCTGACAAGAAACCTGGGCAGGGCAGAGCCAGGAGTCTGGCCCTCAGTCCTGAACTTGTGTGTCCTCTCTCTCTCTCTCTCTTTCTCATTGCAGAGCCACTCATGGATTACTTACCTGCCTGGCAGAAAATTTATTTCTACAGTTGGGGCTAACAGACATCCCGGGAGTGGGGCATGGGGAGGGGCAGGGGGAGCCTCGGCCCTTCGGTCCCCTGGGCCCTAATAAAACTGACTCTGGCAGTATCCAAGTCTGTGGCCTCTCCCTGCCCGCAGCCTGGGGCGCCTGGCACTCCCACCCTGGCCAGGCTCTGTGCTCAGCCCTGGGCGCCACCACAGCCCTCTAACACCTTCTCAACTTTGACTGCACCCTCCAGTGGTGGAGCCGCTGCAGCTGTACCTCGTCGCTGGACCAAGCAGCCTCTGCTAGGACTGGGACCCAGCTTCCTCAGCCACAGAAAGCTGGCATTGAACCTCGAGCACGGGGAGCTGCTTGTCATGGCAGCTGTGGGAGTAAACTGCCTGTCTCACTGGTCCCTGGTGACAGGGCTGAACCCAGGCAGTGATGACAGCTGCCTGCCTGTCTTCCGGCCAGAGCCACTGTCTGCCCCTTCCCCCTGCAGGGCCCTGCTGCTCACCAGCCTCTGTGAGGGAGCCTGGGGAGCGGTGGCCAGCGCAGTGCAGTGTGGCACCTCAAGCCCTAAACTCCTAGTCGAGAGCAAAAGACTTTTCTCCTTTGGGAAAAGAATGCCGGGCACCAGCCAGCACTGGGGTTGACGCTGGGCTGGAAAGAACAGCAGCCTGAGCAGCTCTGGGGGGAGCTGGGTGTAGGTTCTGCCTGGTCTTTCCCTTTCCTGCCCCCCTGCCCTGCCCCCTTTGCCCTGTAAACAGACCACACTGTGCTGCTGCTGGTTTCTAGCCAGATGGTGGTCCCTTAGGTTCCGAGAACTCGGTCTGCCTTGGTATCTGTCATGTGTCACCCCCTAGACTCCCAGGTGAAGGCGCCCCCCCTCCCCCCTCCCAGAGGGGCCAGCCTTTCCTGGACTGCTTTTCCCAGTGCCTCAAGCCACCAACCCCAGGCCCTGTCACAGCTCGAGGCCCACAACCTTCCCCCATGTCTACCAAGGATTGCTTGGCACTTGCTCTGTAGCAGGCTCTGCTTTGTGCAATTTGTTCAGAAACGAGTACAGCACAGTTCTTGCCCCAGCTCCCAGCAATCGGTGGAGGAGACGCATGTAAATGCATGCAGTGCGCGGGTCGCTGCAGCGAGTGCAAGTGTGTGTGAAAAGTAGTCTAGACTCGGTGTGTTCCGGCTCAGGCTGACTGGGAAGGCTCACTGGTCAGGGAAGCCTTCGTTCAAGCAGGCTGTTAAGCTGGTAAAGCTCCATCCGTTTTTTGATGACAGACCCGGGGAAGAGGCCCTGTGTGCAGAAAGCAGCATGTGTAGTGTGGCAGTGGCGTGAAGCCAATGCTGGGCAGAGGGAAGTAGAGGGTGGGAACAGAGGGGATGAGGCTAGAGAAGGTCAGGGCCAAATCCAACAGGCCATCAGCTACCAGGTGAGAAATGGACCTGCCTCGGAGGCAGTGGGGAAGCTGCTTGGTGCAGGGTGGGCTGACGGGCACAGACAGAGGATGGGTTCCGTGACGTCGCTAGTGGAGACCTAGAACAGTGGATGGGGCTGAGTTAAGGCCATGGCAGGGCGATAGGCTTAGGAGTGGCCCAGGCAGGCCTTGGAACTGGTTGTAGAGAGGAAGAGGTGGCAACTTGGGGGCAAGACGAGTGAAGGTCGAGGGGTTTGGAGTTAGAGCGTCAGGGAGCTCATAGTTCCCAGCAGAGGTGGGATACAGAAGCACACTGTGGTGTTCAGGACACACAAGGATGGAGGTGGTCAGTGAGAAGCCAGTGGGTGTGCTCCAAGCACAGGGAGCAGGTGTACTGCAGACTCCAGAGCTGCTTGGACTCGGGGGCTGGACCAGGAGCCAGGTTGGGAAACCTCTCTGGGCCTGAGGCACCTCAGCAGTTGAAGGAAGGGTTGGACCTGCCAACAGATCTGCTGTCTTAGAAGCAACGGAGTTTCCCAAGTGCAGACCCCCAGCTCAGCCTCAGGTTCTGATCCCACAGGTCTGGGTGGGGCCCAGAGTTTGTGGTTCAACCCAGCATCGTGTGGGTTCAGAGCTTCTGCAGTGAGCCAGGTCAGCCCCACATTAACAGAGCCGACAGGAACCAAAGACAGGGTCCCCCACTCAGCCACAGGCTGTTAAGATTCTCCAGGACACTGTCTCATTGCATTTATTCATTCAACAAATCTTTATTGAGCACCCACTAGATGTCAAGTACTGGGGATCCCATAGTCCCTCTGGAAACTTATACTTGAGGAGCAGGTCCCAGCCTTTGCCCACAAACTTGCCCTCTGCCCAGGCTCTGGGGTGATAGCAGGGCCTGTGGAGGCCCTGAGCCAGGCTGTTCAACCCTATGGGGAGCTAAGTGGGAAGTTCCTCAGAATGCGTCCCCCAGTGGGATCTCGGAGCTGGCCAAGCTGAGTGACCACTCTGGGCTCTCCGGCCGGCAGGACCTTCCTGGAACGACTGAGCTGTTGGAGAGACGGTGGAGGTGGCCGGTGGTGGTAGCAGGAGGCTGAATGGGAATGGGTGGGGCTCTGGGGGATGAGGATTCAGTGACTGACTTTTGCTGATGGCCTACTGTGTGCCAGACCTTGGAGACATTATGTATGTGCCTTACCTCACAGATGAGGAAACTGAGGCCCACAGAGATTAGTGACGTGTCTACCTAGCAAGAGGCAAGGTAGGGATTTGAACTGAGAGCTGACTCCAAAGGTCTATGCCCACCTTGGGCAGTGGCACTAGAACAAGATGTGATTTGGCACCTGCTGACCTACATCGTCAGTAAAATCCAACGAAAAACCTCAGTGTAGAGGTTTCTGGCCTAGTCAGGAGCTGGTGCTGACGCTCAGCCCTGGAACTAATGTCCTTTGTGAGGTGGCCCTGGAAGTTGGCAGCGGTTCCGTCCTGCTGGGGGAGGGGCAGCAGAAGCCGGGATCCGGACCTGCGCAGGAGATGGCTCTGTTCTCCAGGGCCGGGCTGAGCCTCTGCCTCCTCTCCCTCTTCCTGGCAGCTGCACTCCTCCACCCCCAGCCGCTGAGGTAACTCCCAGGAGCACAGGGCCAGGGCTCAGCAGGGCCTGGGGCCTGGAAGGTGGGGGGCAGCATGGCAGAGGAGGAGAGGCTGGTGTCATCCTGGACCACTCCCTGCTTCACGGGGAGGTGATAGTGGCCTTTGGGGCCAGAGTTGAGCACCCCACCATCTCCCACAGGCCTCAGCGATCCATTCCCGAGGATTTTTCAGCCCCCTTGGAACTCTCACAGCCACTGTCTGACCTGTTGGATGGTAGGATCCCGCATCCCTCCCCTTCCCTGCCTCCCCTCCCCTGAGGAGACATGCCCTAGGGGAGGGCATCCAGGTCCAGCCTCAGGGTCGTCTTATCTCAAACAGCACCTTTCAGGGGCGACTTCAGCAGATTCAAAACCAGAGTCTCCCTCCACCCATAGCCTCTTGTCTCTCTTTAGACTATGGGATCCAACCCAAGCACCCAAGGCGACGAGGGCCTCGACCCCTCCTCTCCCGGGCCCAGCAGCGCAAACGGGATGGACCAGACATGGCTGAGTATTACTTCGACACACGCCGGTGATGGGAATCACTTATAAAGCTATTCTGTGCAGTAAAGCCTCAGGCTTTCCTGGGATGGGAATGAGCTGAGCATGGGAAGGGTCCACGTAGATACACCCACTGCAGTCCAGACAGGAAATGGCACTTTAATAGTTGTGGCCAGGGTGACAGGACCAAGATGGGGCTACAGCCAAAGAAGCCAAGAGGCCGGGCTGGCCCGGGCCAGTGGGAAGCCGCCTTTTCCTGCCAGGGCGGGGCCCTGCTGCCGGTCTCTCCTTCCTTGAGGGGCCCCACAACTGCGGGGGCCAGCATGCCAGCGAGGTTGGAGGTGGAGCCAGCCAGAGGCCACACAAGTGACAGCTGGGGACAGGGATGCACCTCCACCTGCTGCTGTTCCCTTACCGGAAAGTCCTTAGGAGGTGCTGGTCTCAGCCTGAGCTCAGGGCCTTTGGTTGGGGTTGGGAATTGGGGGCAGGTTGGGCACTTGCAGGTGGCATGGGCTTCATCAAGGCAGAAGAGAGCCAGAGGCCCTGGCAGGGGAAGTGTGGCCCAGGATGGGACAGAACCCTCTGCTCCTGGATGGGCATCCTTCCTGGCCACAGGCCTGACCAGCCCTGCCCCCACCCAATCCCCGGGCAGCCTGCTCTGTCCTCCATAGATGAATCTAACCCCTTATATTACAATAAACTGCATTTGCCTCTCCCCATAACCCCCACCCTCCCACCCTCGGCCGATGGCCTCCACTTCCCCACCCTCTGGTGGTGGCGGGTGCCCCTCCTCAAGCAGTGCCACGTCCTGTCAGCAGCCAGCTGTCCTGGCCCTGGCCTGCGGGCCCAGGGAGGCAGAGGGCAGGCAGCGCTGCTACTCCAGGTAGATGTCTTCTGTGGGGCAGGTGTACTCCACAAACTGCTTGTAGAACTGCTGGAACGCTTTCCTAGGAGGCAGGAGACACACGCTGATGGGGGAACTGGAGCCTCAGGGTCCCTGGGTGGGCTCCAGTCCCCTGGCTGCTCAGCTCTGTTCTCTACAAACTGTTTCCTAAATGAGACTGCAATTGGCGAAAGGGTCTAACAGCTAAAACGTGTGGAAGCTACTCCTCAAGACCACGCAGGCCTCTCTTGAGGTCCCTGCACTGTGACCTGGAGGCGGTGTGCAGAGCTGGGGAGGGCTGAGGGTGAGGCTGAGGATTGTGCTTGAGGGCTTGAGCCTGGGCCGGCTGGCGGGCCCAGTGCTTGGTGGGACACACACATACGTACCCCACGGATTCCGCCAAGACTTTGGTGGATTCTTCAGACACAAAGACGTGGCAGGCAAACCGGTGGTCAGCAGGGTGCTTAGTGATAAACCCGAAGTACCTGTGGGAGGACAGCAGTCTGTCTGGGTAGGATGGGGGCTCAGACCCCTCCAGGCACATTCGTGGCCCCATGTCCTGCCATAATGGCTCCAGACCCAGCCCACACCGCGGCCTCTGCTCCTCCCCACTTACTTGTTGTTCTTCGGATGGTATCCACAGAAAGAGATGTTTTTTAACTGGAAAAAGTGGCTACATTTATTCCCCTACAGGAGAAAGAGTAGAAGAGGGTGGTCATCAGCCTGCAGGGGGCAGAGGAGGGAGACCCGGTGGGCGAGCCGGGATGGGGCCAGGGGGTCACCTTGGCCTCCTGGGAGTCATCAGCCTTGACGCCTATCTTCACACCCCTCACGCTGATCTCTAGGACGCAGCTGGAGGGTGGGTTAAAGTGCACGGTGAGCCGGCGGGTGGTGGCGATCTGTGGTGAGGGACAGGAACATCAGGCGGGGGTGTCCCTCTCCCAGGAGAGGATGGGGACTGGGCTGGGGGTGGGCACCCGCTTTAGGCGGGCAGGAAGCAGGTACCTTTTGCATAGCGGCACAGAGGACGTCATTGCCCTTGTGGTAGGGAACCTGGACAGAGCCCAGGAACTTCACCCGAAACTGGTCCACCCAGTCGCTGTTTTTGGTCAGGGCTGGAAAGCAAGCATGAAAGTGAGGCGCGGCAGAGCCAGCAGAGGGTGCCACCATCCACGTATGTCCCAAACTGGCTGGGCTCACTCTAATCAATTGTGAAACTGACCCAAAGGCACCTCTACTCGGCCCCTCCCCGGGTGCTGAGGTCTGGAGCATAGGCTACCCTGGCAGCAAGTCAGGGCAGGGGAGATGTGTGGCCCGGGGGCATCAGGCAGGGGGAAAGGAACACTACCTGCCATCTGTTCAGGCTCCTTGGTGACCTCGATGGCGTAGTAGGCAGGAAAGATGCCCCGGGCCCCCGTGCGCATATTGTAGGCCTCGTACCAGTAGTCCTCAGCCTGTAGCTCCACCAGCAGGGGGTCGTCCACTTCCAGCTCAAGTTCATCTTCATGTCGAGGCACAAACCTGTTCCCAAAGAAAGCACGTGAGGACTTCACCACGGGCCCTCTCCAGCCAGGCCTTCCATCTACTCCCCACCCTGCTCTGGCATCTGGGAGCTGCACCGGCATCATTAGTTCAATAAACATTTGCAAAGCATCTGTGAGCCTGTCAGTGCTAGCTCCTGGGGGAAACCAAAGTCAATCAGATATGCATCGGCCATGGAGGAACTCACGGCCACGGGAGGAAGTGAGCGGAGCCACTGATAACATGTGAGAGGCGATGGGAAGCAAGCACTTCCATGTGGAGGGGAGGGAGGGTGTGGGTTTGCTGTGGGGTCAGGTATCGGGTGCTGGGCGCCCTCCTGGGCTCTGGTCCCGTGCACATCGGGTGCTCGCTCCTGTGCTCTGGCAGCGCAGCAAAGGCCACACGGCACTGAGAACATCTGCTCCAGCACCCTGCTCAGAGTTCCGAGAGGGTAGACTGTCCCCTGGGGCTGAGAGGACAGATGAATGCCAGTGGCGGGGTTGGGTTCAGGCCAGTGGTTCTCAACCTCCCTAATGCCACGACTCTTTAATACAGTTCCTCATATTGTGGTGACCCCCAATTTCATTGTTACAAATTGAACATAATTAAAGCATAGTGATTAATCACAAAAACAATATGTAATTATATATGTGTTTTCCAACAGTCTTAGGTGACCCGTGTGAAAGGGTCGTTCGACCCCCAAAAGGGTCGCGACCCACAGGTTGAGAACTGCTGGTTTAGGCCATGTGGTGATGGCAGAGGCAGGGAGGCCAGCCCAGCTCTGTGCTCTCACCTGAAGATGGCCCGATGGGTCTGCTCCTGCTCCTCCCCGTTGATGACACAGGAGAAGAGCCCAAAGGATTCCGCACCTACGGATGAAGGGGACTGGCTGGAGGAGGAAGGACCCAGCTCTGGTCGAGTTTTGAGGGGCAGGTGGAGAGCTCTCAGTCCTGATGCCTTGAACTGGATGGGCCTGAGGCCTCCTCCCAGGAACACCCTCGTTTCAGCTCTTCCCACCCAGGTCCCCCCACAGCTCCCGCTGCAGACTCACTGGAGGAGCGAGAGCGGCCACTCATGAAGACGTTCAGGAACTTCTTGGAGAAGTGGACGTCGGGCTCGTCGGGTGTGGAGTCCTCGGAGAGGCAGGCAGAGGGCCTCGGCCGGGGCGCCTCCTCATATTCTTCCCCAATGGCCGACTCGTAGGGCGAGGAGGCAGAGGCGCAGTTGTCATAGACAGTGGCCGAGTCACTCTCGTCACTGTAGTCTCCGAAGCACGGCCGCAGGCTCACCAGCTCCAGCTGTGCGTGCTCATCCACCACCAGCGTGTACTTGACCGAGTCGTAGGACAGCGCGCTGGTGTCCGAGCTCAGAGAGGCCCGTGGAGGCGGCGGCGGCTCCCCCAGGCTCCCCCGCCACCCTCCACCTAGTGGCTCAGCCCGCTCTGGGGAGGACAAGCAGTCGAAGCCCTCATCCTCCTCGCTGATGGAGGGGTGCGGCCGCCCTGCTGTTGAGGGGTAGGCAGCAGGGTCTGGATCGGAGCTGACCGACATCCGGCTCTCAGCTGGCGGCAGGAAGGCAGAGGTGGGCTCTGCAGGGTCTGGGGGCCTCTGCACTGGTGTCAGGTAGATCTCCTCAGTGGCCTCCAGCCTCACATCTGCCTGGTAGTGGATGCGGTCTCGATGCGAGTGGCCCCGGCCACCAGGTGGAGCAGCCTGGGGGACACTGGGAGGCGCCATCTGGGTGGCAGCACTGCGGCGGCAAGGGCTGTCGGTGGAGGTGCCTCGGTCTGTAGTGGGAGCGGGGCTGCTCTGGGGTGGCAGCTCATCGCTCAGGCAGATGTGTTCGTGTGCAGGTGTCTGCTCCCCTGCAGAGCAGGCAGGTCAGAGCTGAAGGCAGGTGCCCTCACCCTTGGTTCCCAGGCTACCTGCTCCCCACATTCAGCACTTTTACTCAGCATGTCATGCAGAAGCAGGCCCAGGGCTGGCTCTGGAGCCAGCCCTCACTCGTGCCACAACTGACCTCAGATGGGCCCACTCACAGCTGTGGGATAGGCAGTTTACCTCCACTCACAAGCTGGAGACTATTGGGTTTGCTCTCTGTACGGGGACTGGGTGAGGGCAGGTAGGAGTCCAGGTAAGGGTACTGACTTACCTGTCTTCAGGGGTGAGGATGACCGAGACACCCGATCCTGCCAACTGTGCTTCTTGCCCAGAGAATTATTATTCAGCGTGTCCTGTGCAGGAAACAAAAGGCCCTTGTGACAGAAGCAGTCAACAGTGCCCGGCACAGAAGGCCCTGGCCCTGCCCCCAGCAGGCCATCCCTAGGCCCTTTGCCGCACCCTACCCCCACCACTTGTCCAGGGCCTCACCCAAACCCTCTCTGGAGTAGGCAGGATGGGTGGCAAGTCCCAGCCCACCCAGCCAGGCCTACTGGCTCTAGCCAGCCCTTCCTCCTGGCTCAGGGAAGCTGGCCAAGCCTTAGGGCAGTGGTTCTCAACCTTCTGGCCCTTTAAATACAGTTCCTCATGTTGTGACCCAACCATAAAATTATTTTCGTTGCTACTTCATAACTGTCATGTTGCTACTGTTATGAATCGTAATGTAAATATCTGATATGCAGGATGGTCTTAGGCGACCCCTGTGAAAGGGTTGTTCGACCGCCAAAGGGGCCGCGACCCACAGGTTGAGAACCGCTGCCTTAGGGAGATGCTCTTATCAGCCTCCATAAAAGAGGTGATGGCCAATGTGTGTGCTGGTGAGTGGGGGAGGAGGTGGGGGAGAAGCAGGAGCCATCTGGGCACAGAGTCAGCCCCCTAGTTCCAGACACTGAGGATTAGGTAACGTGAAGACTCTCACGTCCAACCCAAGTCCCTGAAGCTCAGGAAGCTATGGCCTAGGGAAGGGGCAGCTGCAGAGCCTGAAAAGCGCACGAGGAAGGGTCTCCCAGCAGCTGGCCTGGGGACTGGGGATGAATCATCCACATGACTCCACAACGCGGTTCCCTCAGCCCCCCAGGAGCACATGACTGAGGAATGACTGATGTGGTTGTCAGAGGCCCTTCTTGCTGGATCTGCTGGGCTGCCCATGCCACATTCTCAGCCCCCAGGAACCCTCTCCACAACGCCTGCGTACAAGGCCCCCTACACGCAACTCAGGCCCCCTTCCCTGGGAACACCCTCACAGGCCCTCACATTCATGAATTTGGCTGCCAAAATCCACCCCTGAGGATCCTGGGAAAGGAACCAATCCTCTCCCAGCAGCCCCTGCACTCTCCACCAACAGCCCACCTCCCTGAGCTCCTCCGGACCCCTCCTCACTAGGCCTGGGAGACAAAGGGCCACAGCCACTCTCCCCCACCCTATCCAACCCTCCTTGGCATCCAGCCACCCAGCCCAGGGGCCCCAGGCCCCCAACTCAGCCGAGCAGCTCCACCCCCCATCTCTCCTCCTGCCTTCTGGGAATTCCCAGCTGCCCACATGCACACTGGCTGCTGCCTCTGAGCTCCCCATCCCCAACTCTTACAATTCCCCATGACCTCCCACCACACGGGCCACTTCGTATGCCCTTTTCTCCAGGCCCTGCTTCTTGTCCATCTTACCACGGACCCCATACCCTACGCAGGAAACCCTGCCGCAGCCTGAGGTCCCAGGCTCCAAACCCTTGCAACCCCTCAAGCCAGTTCTCTTAATGCCCCGCTCCTCTCCTTGTCAGATCTCGGGGCCTTCACGCCTCCTCTCCCTACGAAAGATCTTATCTGCCCCCGAGACCTCTTGCCCAGGGACCTGCCCCCTGGGAAGCCCTGGAAAATCTCACCGGCCGGAGACCTCTCCCCGCGCCAGACCCGCAAGTTCCCGCTCAGCACCTCCTCGCGCGCCCACCTCCCCCAGGGGCCTGACCCAGGAGCCG